CAAACAAATGGTGGAAGGATCTGTTTTATCACTTAAATGTTCGTGGAATTGAGGATTTCCATGATATGTAAACTTTTACGTAGACTAGAAAGACATGAAAGATCCAGTTGATTTTATAAACCTATATTAATCATGATACAAAAATATGAGAAATATAGTAATGAAACAAAACTGCCTATCGAGCTAGAAAATCAAATCTAGCCCCTCAATAAGAGAATAATACAACATGAGGCAATGGCATTATTAAAATAATGTAAGCAGGGGTGCCTGGGTGGCTCAGTCGGTTGAGGGTCCAACTTTGGCTCAGATCACGATCTCATGGTTCATGGGTGTGAGCCCCATGTTGGGCTCTGTGCTGACAGCTTGGAGCCTGGAGTCTGCTACAGATTCTGTGTCTCCCTCTCTCTGTCCCTCCCCTGCTTGCACTCTGTCTTTTTCTCTCTCTCTCAAAAACAAATAAACAGGGGCGCCTGGGTGGCTCTGTCGGTTAAGTATCCGACTTCGGTTCAGGTCATGATCTCACGGTCCGTGAGTTCTAGCCCCGTGTGGGGCTCTGTGCTGACCGCTCAGAGCCTGGAGCCTGTTTCAGATTCTGTGTCTCCCTCTCTCTCTGCCCCTCCCCTGTTCATGCTCTGTCTCTCTCGGTCTCAAAAATAGATAAATGTTAAAAAATAAAATTAAAAAAAAACAACAAATAAACATTGAAAAAAAATTTAAAAATAATGTAAACATGGTTTAATAGAAAAGCCATTAAGATAATTCACTACATCTTTAGATCTAAGAAGAAAACCCTATGATCATCTAGACAGGTGTGAAGGGACAAGAAAAATCTACTTTCTTTTAGGATGTAGAAAATCACAAGGGAACATTGCTTCCCCCCACATAACCATTTTTGGTTTTTTTTTTTTTTTAAAGTCAGATGATCTACAAAATTATTAGCTTTCCTGAACCCATCAGAAAGCTGTTGTCACAAAACTACCAGATGAACTATATTTCAAAGAGTGAATGGCTCATTTGAGGAGAGGTGGAACGCACAAACTATTTTACTTTGGCAGAACACAAAAGAAAGGGTTGTAGTAGGTAGTAGTAGCCCACCTACTCGAGGAATTTGCAAGATACCATAGTGTGAAGGTACCTATAGCAACAACAATATCAAACCCAGTTTAAACATTGACTAGAGCAACTCAACAACCACATACCCACACACCCACACAAATTATTGTTCTCACAGGAAAGGTATCATGCCCATCTCAGGGCAAAAGTACCATTTATCTCAATCTCTGCTATTTTTCTACACACCATGTGCAACATTCAGCAAAAAATTACAAGAAACACACACACCAAAAAAAAGCCACAAAAAAATTGTCAAGAGATAAGGCAGTCAATAGAACTAGACCCAGAGATGACCCAGATATTGGAATGATCAAATAAGAACCTTAAAATAATTGTGATTAATATTTTAAAGGATCTATTGGGAAAAGTGGACAAATGCTTAAACAGGTGGGGAGCTTCAACACTGAGATTAAAACTATGAAAAAGCCAAATAGAAATACTACAGGTGGGGGATGTGATATCAGAGATAGAGAAGAATCTCTTTGGCAGGTCCAGAAAAGAAAAGAATCATTGAGCTTAAAAGTAGCTAATAGACATTTTCCAAACTGAAACACAAAGAGAAAAATCATATTAAAAATCAAGAAGACCCAAAATTGGCATTCTAAAAGAATAGAGAAAAAATGTGGAGGAAAAAATATTTGAAGAGATAGTGGCTGTGAACTTTTCCAAAATTACCAAAGGACAACAAACCACAGATCCAAGAAACTCAGGGAACAAAAATATTAAAAAGAAACAAAATCTAAACGTATTTTAGTCAAACTGCCAAAACCCAAAAATACCCCCTATATTGGTTTATGGTTTCAATGAGATTCCAGTAAAAATCCCAGTGGGATTTTTGGTAGAAATTGACAAGCCACCCCTAAACTATATGAAAAAGCAAAGGAACTAGAATAGAACTTTGGAAAAAAGAGTTGAAAGACTCATACAATCTGATTTCAAGACTTAATATAAAGCTACATTAACCAAGATGGTGGTATTGGTAAAAAAGATAGACATGTAGATTAATGGAACAGAATAGACCTCACAAATATGGTTGGCTGATTTGGACAAAGGATCCAAGAAAATTCATTAGAAAAAAAGATAGTCTTTTAACAAATGGTACTGAAACAGTTGGACATCCACATGCAAAACAAAACAAAACAAAACAAAACCTAAACAAACAAACAAAAACCACCACAAAAAAAAACAGCAAAAACTAACTTCAATCCATATCTCATTCCATATAACAATTTACTCAAAACCCTGTCATAGATCTAAATGTAAATTCTAGAATTATAAAAATTCTAGGAAAAAAACTCTGGGGAAAATCTTTGTGACTTTAGGTTGCACTAAACTGTTAAACTATGAGTTTAAAAACACAATCCATAAAAGAAAAAAATGATAAATTCTGGATTTCATCAAATAAAAAATTCTGCTCTTCAAAAGACATTTAAGAAAATTAAAAGACAAGACACAGGTTGGAAGAAAATATTTACAAAACATATATAGAATAAATAATTTTTATCCAAAATATGTAAAGAAATCTTACAACTTAATAATAGGAGGACAATTAACTCAATTAAAAAATGTACAAATGACCTAAACACTTAGCCCAAGAAAATATATTGGTGGCAAATAAGCGCATGAGAAGAGGCTCAAAATCATTAATCATTAGGAAAAAGTAAATTAAGACCACACTGTGATACCACTACATCCCCATGGAATGGTTAAAATTTTAAAAACTGACATTACCAAGTGCCGCCGAGGAATGTTATTGATCAGAACTCTCAAACATTGCTTGTGGAGAGATGCAAACTAGTCCAGTCCCTTAGGAAAACAGTGTGACAGTTTCTTATAAAGTTAAACATACAGTTACTATCTATCCACGACTCAGTAATTCTATTCCTAGGAATTTACCCAAGAAAAATGAAAACATATGTCCACCAATGACTGGTGTGTAAACTTTAAGGACTTTAATCATCATAGGCCCAACCTGGAAATAATCCAAAGGTTTGTCAACTAACAAATGGGTAAGAAAATTTTTATATCCACATAATGGAATACCGCACAACAATAAAAAAGAATGCAGTATTGATACATGCAATGATACGAATGAATCTCAAATGCATTATGCAAAGTGAAAGAAGCCAGACACAAAATACTACATACTATATGATCCCGTTCATTTTATATTATTTAAAAGGCAAAACTATAGGAACAGAAATCTAGATCTCCACAAGTTCATAGACATAAATATTCTCCAGTTTAATTTTCTCCCATGCAAAACAATTTATGCAAAAGGAAACTTAAGCCAAAAAGCTCAAACTCAAACTTGAACCCCCTTAAAATGCAGAAAAATGTCTATCACAGTGTTATCTGTAACATACATTTAAAGGAAAGGTTGGGTGAATAACCTATGACAAGAATGCAGCCTTTCAATCCTGATAGAGAATACTAAGGACCTAGGAAGTCGATGGCATATATATATATGAAGAAAGGACACAAAATAGAAACACTACTAGCTGACAACTGTTGAGTGGCTCTTATGCACTGGGCACTCCTCTAAGTGCTTTATGAATATTATTCCATTCAATCCTGGCAGATACCATGTTATCATTGTTGTTGTGTTTTGCTGTTGTCAATTGTGGGTTCTAAAGTTTGGCAAATGTGTTGTAACATGCAGCAAGTGATGGGACTGGGATTGGAGCCCAGGCAGTCTATTCAAGACTCAGAATTCCAACTAGTCCACTTTAGTGCCTCTATCCTGCATGACTGTAAATCTGTAATGTTTAAAAAGCACACAGGGGCCTGGAAGCAGCTGAACCAAAATGTTAACAAGTCACCCCCGGGTGGGAGTTGTAGGTAGCTTTTATATTGTTATTTTGCTTCTTTGTGCTTTTAAAACTTGCTCTCCTGAAAAAGAGTATGATGTTTATAATAAAAGAAAATAATACATGTGATTTAAATAGATGAAGACTTCATCTTGTCTAAAAAGTTGCCTCCTCGTGAGACACTACATTCTAAGACTGGGGTCTAGTCCCTGTAAATTCAAGGGTGCCATCCTGCACTCTCTCTGGCTCCCCCTTCCTCCACATCACCGACTACTTCAGGAGTCTAGGATGAGCAGGGAGTCACTGTCTCCAGAGAAAAGCCTTCCAGCCGCTTCTGCCAGGCATCCTGGACGGCAGCCGGAGGGAGGCGGTGTGCATCCAGCTCCCCCTGAGTCTGACGCCGGCAGGGCTGGCCCAGGGTCCTCAGTTGAGCCCGGGCAGCAAAGCCCCAGGTCTCCCCCACTGGGGGTGGGATGGATGAGATGGTAGAAGGCAGTGGTGGCAAACATTAAAAGAAGAAAAGACCTGTTTGATTAAGCCACGTCTCTCCTCCCCAGAACCCCCCTTCCCTCCCTGAGCTGTATTCAAACCCCATTGCATTTGGAGGGAAATTCAACCCATGTGTTTCTGATTCATTTACACTTAACTCATCAAAATCCTGTTTTGAAAGAGGCCATTGGATGGTCTACAAAGTCTGAGCAAAGCTCCCCGCCTCTGCGGGCTGGTTGTGGACTCACCAAATACCCCTTCTAATCCACCGGGCTTGTGGGCAGGCTGTGCACCACGGTACGGGCTGTCTGAATGTCTGCTCCCCAGCCTAGGCTCCCTTGGAGCCCTTCCCCAATGCTTTCTGCCTCTTTGCGAGTTCTCAGGCTGCCTTTGAGGGCCTGGCAAACTCACCCAGCCCCCGGGGCAGAGGCACGAAGCGTGCTGCCCTTCCTGGGCAAGGCTGGGTTTGAGATGAACTTGTAGAGGAGAACACAAAGGGAGGAAATGAATAGATCTCAGTGTGGGAGAGTGTATTTCAGGTCAAAGGGGCTGCGCGGGGCCCTCCATTGCAGTGGGTGCAGTGCTCACCTCCAAGGGGAGTGAGAAGACCACGCAGTGCACCTTGTTGCCCAGGCCTGCTTCTCCCACCAGAGTCTGAACCTGCATTGTCTCTCAGCCTCGGACCTTCTTGGATTGGATTCGAATGAAGAGCCGGCCTTCCAGCAAGAGCAGGGCACTGAGTCCCGTCGTCGGGGTCCAGCAGGTGTCCTTGGGTCAGCGTGGGGTGGTGCTCAGTGCCAACCACTGGTGCAAAAGCAAGCCCTCCTAAGCAGACATTTGGAAGTCATTAAATCAAAAAATGGTTGACTCAGATGCAAAGCACGCCCGCGCTAGAAAAGACCTTAGAGAACTTTATGGTCCAACCCCCACGTTTACAGATCAATCCTCACGAGATCCTCTCCAGGAGGCTTTGGAGTAAGCCAAGCTCCTCCAGCTTGCTGCTTTGGGATAACATGGGGTGTGGTCAGAAGAGACAAGGAAGGCTGGGCCCCCTCCAAGCAAGGCTTACAATGAAACACATGGGAAGCAAGAACAGAACCAAGACAGTGGGGACCTGGGTCCTCTTGTGTCACCATCACAATGCGTTTTAACCTTTAGATAACCCCCTTCCCCGCGGACGTGTTGTTCTCTTTTCCCTGTGATTACTAGCAGGGAAAATTCTTCAGAAACTGCCATGAAGATATGTGCAGTTGGGGACCAGAAGGCAAGCAGTGCCCTCTTGAGAGCCAACGTGGGGGGAGACAGCAGGAGCTGACGGGGACAAGAGGGCAGAAGATGAATAATGACAGTAGTGACTGTTTACCGGGGGGATTCTTCAATCATGAAGCTCAGAGAGGTTCAGTAATTTGCCCCATGTCACACAGCCACTAAATGTTGGCATCAGGGTTCACATCTACATCTGCCTGGCTCTAAAATCCACAAAACCAAAGACATAGGGGATGAGAGGACAGAGGGGAAAAGCTACTAGATGTGGCTCTGTGCTCTTTGATGTGCAGGGCTGACAATCAAGGAAACTCCCAGAAGGAGGTGCTGTTGTGCAGAGTCTGGAAAGAGAGGAGGCGCGTGGTTTATTGTAGAGGGGAGGAGGATGGTCCAAATGGAGGAATCAAGGTGGGTGCCAGTTGGGGCGCTCAGCTGCACCGGGCACTAATGGCACGTGGTGGCTGCACCTGGAACCTACCAGCAGGTGGCAGTATTTCAGAACAAGAAGGTGATGGAAGGAGGTTAGGACCTTGCCTTACCAGTTACTGAGCTCTTACTATGTGCCAGTTATTGTCATAAATATTTTATACAGAGCATCTCATTGAACCTTCACAACAACTCAATGAGGTAAGTATTATTATTAGCCTCGTTTGACACCCGAGAAGGCTCGTTCGAGACTACAGAGCCAGGAGGTACTGAAACCAAGATTCTTACCCAGGAGCCTAACTTCAGATTCAGACCCACACAGCACAGCTGTCACACCTCAGTCTGCAAGCTAGGCTGAATTTCCACCACGGGTGCCCCACTGAGCTGGGCACTACAGACCTGGAAGTGGTCTAGACAGCACCTCTGCGCCGGCTGCTCCACTGATGTCTCTAATGTCCCGGAATGATGGAGGGAGGTCCTCGCAGACAGCAGGGAAAGCGGCCCCCACTGACCAGGTCCTCAGACCTAACTCAGGTCCAGCTACTCCGCTCACTGCTGGGTGGCCTTCTGGGCCTCGGTTTGGCTTATCTGTCGGTAAGCGGGTATAACATCGACCTCATGAGGGTTGAATGGGACAAGAATCAGGCATGGTGTGGGTAGTATGCTTTACTGAAATGACCACAAATATCAAACACAAAAGGCACCAGGAGCCCAGGAGAGGGCTATCATAGTGGGCTTCTGAGACTGAGCAGCAGGCTGACAGGAGGGTGAGCCTGAGGAAGCAGGAGGACTTGGGCTGGGGAAGCTCCGTGAGCATCTCCCCATCCTTGGAACCAGCCCCTGGGGAATGTTAGAAGACTGAGAAATCCGATCTTCAGAGGGTCTCAAAGTGAGCTCGATTTAAACAGGGAAGTAGAGGATTCGGAGCGCCCCGGTCTGCACGCTGTCATTCAGCAGGTGTCTCATGGGCCTGCTAAAGGCCGAGCACCAGTCCTGAATTGGCTTAGCCTGGGCCTTTCCTCCTGTGCTGTACATGTGTCCTGCCGTTGACTGAATCAAGCCCCACCCAAACCCACTGCCCAGTTCTGCCCAGCGGGTTTGTGAGCACCCTGGTTCCAGAAGTTCCCTATGTGCTCTGCATAACCCACTTCACCTGTGACCCTTCCAGACACACCCTCAGGGGAAGAGGAGAACCCTGGCAGGGCAGGAGACGGCATGACAACCTCCATTCCAGGAGTGGTTGAGTCATTCAGGGAGGGCACATGTCCCAGGACAGTGTGGTAGATGAAGGATTGGGGGCAGGCACGCAGAGTCGGGCCCCAGTGACCTGCAAGCACAGTGCCACCTGAGAATGCTCAGGCATCCCCAACCTCTCGCTCTGCCCCAACAACACCATGCCTCCCCCGACACACCCCGCCATGCTTCTAGCCTCCCTTCTCAAGATATTGCGGGAACAAAGGCTAACGGGTCTTCCGGGCTCTTCATGGGGGTGATGGGAGTGCAGGTCTGGCTCTGGCCTTATCTGCACAGAGGCACATTCCTTCCCTGGAACACCCCCCACCCAGAAACCTCATCATTCATTCCATCATACACACAGCTGGGGCTGGGGGAGGTCATGACAGGTGGGCCAGCCCCAGAGGTGGGGATGGGGCGCCACAGCCTTCTCCCCACCCCCCAAACAAGACAGATATGTCCCCTCTGAACATGCTGGGGGAGATTATTTTAACAAGCACTTTTGTACCAGGAAATCAGTGTGTTTAACCTAACAAGCAAAGAACAGCCCAGTGGGGCCCATAAATCTCGTTCCCACCTATTAATTTTACGGCCTACATAAAGCAGTGTTGAAGTCCAAAGTATATGTGACCTAAAAAGGCATTGCTCATTCTGACACATATACGACGTGGCCAGGACTCGAACCCTGACCCTGACCCTCACTCCAGGAAGCCAGCTCCCAAGCCTCACAGGGTGCGGGGGCTCACACTACAGAAACCTGCCTCACCTCCTCTCAGAAGAAAAGGACAGCTGGAGGAGATGGCTGGGGAGGAGGCTGGAGGATGCGGCAGCTACTCCTGAGGCTGGGTCAGCAGGAACTCCCTGCTCAGAGACCCCCAACCACCTCCAGGGCTGCTATGTGGAGCTGTGCAGGTTGGTCACTGCCCAAAGGCACCCGGACAAGGGACAGGCGAGGGCTGAAATCCAGCCTGCACTCCATTCACCATGCCTTCCCCTGGGGCAGGAATGTGTCCATCAGAGCAGAGCATTTAAAAAAGGCCACTGGAATGGCAGCAGTGCTCATAGCCCCCGATCCCCGTCCTGATTATTTCAAATATTGATCCCCAAATCCAATGACTCACTGTACCCCCAAAGCAATTACATAGCCCTCCTACCAGAGAAATCCTGGGAGGCGTAGACTATCAGTTGTTGACTCCCGACTTCAGTTACATGCCAACCCCTCCCAAGCCTTAGCATGCTTCAGGTGTCTCACTCACCATGTAATGATGAAAACTGGGCCACACTGGAGTCACCAGGACAGGGCCCACCCCAGTGCAACTTAACCCTAAGCAAGCCACCTCAATCCCTCATGGATGCTATTCTTCCATTGGAAGAACAGCCCTGAGGACCCCAAACCCCAATGCACACTCACTGCACCCCAACCACATGCTGAGCTGCCAAACTCAAGTGCACAGTGCCCAGTACCTTCTAATTGTTCCCTGACCCCATCCCAGATTCATGCTCCACCCTGTCTGTGCCTGGGAGGCTCACCTCTAGGGACTTGTCCTCTGGTTTCTAGCCCAGTTCCCAAATGTGGAGCCCCTATTAGTGAAGTAAGGGGGAGACCCCTGTGGCCAGAGCCATGCACTCTTCATCATGGTTTTGCTTTATCTTGAGAAGTCATGTGGAATTCATGTTCCCATAATATATCTTTGTTAGCTTTATTATAAAAATGTTTCTCTTAGGTCAGTTTCCCCAGAAGCAAACCCGAGACCGGGATATGAGGGCGAGTCATTTGTTTGGGCCGTGATCCCAGGAAGCGCCATAGGGGAGCGGGAATGTGAGGTGGGGAAGGAAAGGAAGCCCACACAGGGTATATTAATGAACAAGGGACTACTGTAGGAAAGGGATTCGGTCCTGCTGAGAAGCTGCAGCAGGGGTATTTATCCACCATTTCCTGCCTGTCCTTAGTGTTGGGCTATCACTGAGGGAGCGCAGTGACCCCAGGCCTTTCTGGGTTTCCTGGTGAAGATGCAACCTGCGCCCACAATCAGGGGTGCATCCTCTCGCAGTGTTGCAGGTGCAGTAGCCAAAACGTATGGGCATTTAAGGAACAGAGCCTACCTCCCCAGGGGGTGTGGGCAGAGCAACCTTTGCATTTGCTACAGTGTTTTGCTCAAATATTCAAGTAAATTTGACTCCTAAATCTCCCCTAGTCCCTGCATTCTCTAAGAAGCCAAGTTGGAGAAGTCCACATCCAGAGCTCTCCACCCTAAACAAGGCACCAACTCCCCATACCCACCCTTCCCACCAACTCCCCTGACCCTTTCTCACCCCCAGAGTTGCATACCGGCCTGCTGACCGCTAAACCCCACCACTCTGGGCTCGAGTCCCCAGCTGACCCCAATTCAGCCTTGGTAGTCTGTGCTTATGAGGCTCCCTTCCTCTGGGAGGCTTTCCCGGGAAACCACTTGTTCACCCCCATCCCCAACCTCATCCATGCCCTACCCTCTCCAACTGAAGGTCAATATGACTAACTGATCCCTAAACACACACTGACCCTCAAACCTGGCTGCACCTTGACCCTCCAATCTAATAACACAGCTTACAAAGACCCACACACTGAACTATATCTTCAATCCTCAACACCAGGTGACCCAAAATCATACTGATCCCCCAATGCCAACTACACAGTGATGCCTCAGTTCCATCTCTAGCTGATCTACACTGATGGATCTACACTGATCCACAATGACCCACAACTGCACTGGAATATGTAGTCCGGGCACATATTTATCCCTGAAGTCAGTCACACATGGTGATGTCCAACCCCTAATACATACCGGCTCCCCAGTTCCAAACAGTACACATGCTAACCTTCTAAATGCAATAAGACACCAATCCAACAAAGCATAAAGAATGCTGGCTACCATTCTTTCCGACCACAGGCTGACCCCCAAGCACTGGCTGTCACTCCTATCTCAAGCTCCACATGAATGCTCACTACCCAGTTAGAGCCTCTACCATAGACACCCCAAGCTGACCACTCACTGACCTCATGAAGTTTAGCCAAACGGTGACCTCAGTACCTCAACCAAATAATGGCCTTAATCTCAGCTACCCCACAACCAGGCACTCTGATGTCCAAATAGGGCCACACTCTTAATCCCAGGACTTCACCTCACAATCAGTCCCAACAAAGAGTGATTCACCAGACTTAACCTCAGAGTGATACTGTCTTGAGCATACACTGACATTTAAGCCCCATCCGTGCACTTACCTTTAATCCAAAGTCATGCTGACCCCAAAGCCAAACATCCCAACCTGACTGCAAGCTGTGTACCCTCTGCTGAACTTCACTGCTCCTCCACAGAGAGAGAGGGCACTCCGTTGGAAGTCCCAACCCCCTGTTCATTGATTCCCCCCAGCCACATCGAACCTGTGGCTACTCTAGGCCTTCAAATCCTGTGTACATACCAACCCACCACAAAACAGTCCCAACCCAGCGTCACTCTGTCCCTTTCCACCTCCCCCACACCTGAGCCACACCTCACAGAGATCACCCAGGCTGAACTGCACCCTTATTCTCTAACACAACCTCACCCCCACAGACCTTGTAACCCACACATGCTAGGACCCATAGGGATGGTATTCAAAGAGGGATCATCTCCAGATTCCTATAGGCAGTGGCCCTTGGACCGGGGTACTTGACACTGTCCTTTGTGTCCTATCTCCATGACTCAGGGAAGGCACCGGAAGCTCTTGCCTAGAGACACTGGGACAGCCAGCTACATTCCTCCTATTATTTAGACATCTAGTCTCAAATTCCTCTCCAGCTTTGAGCATACTGACCTCTTCCATGGGGTACAATTCCCTTATGCCAAGTTCAGGTCTCCAGGGAACCATCCAGGATCTTGGTCAGCTACACTAAGTTGGGTCACACAAATGTGTGCAGCCTACTGGGCAGTGGGGTCAGGAGACTGGATGATTGTCCTGCTCACTTGCCCACAGGCTATGTGATCTCAGCTGGTCACCTCACCTCTCTGGGACTCATTTGATCGCATATGTCAGGGGTCAGACAACTACTGTGAGCAGATTGAATCTGGCCATGCCCTCTCATTTTCCTATCATCTGTGGTTGCCTTCACAAAACAACGGCAGACATGAATAGTTGTGGCAGAAATTGTATGGAGCTCAAAGTTGAAAAGACTTACTATTTGGCCCTTACGGAAAAAGTTTGCCAGCTCTGCTATGCATCCCCTACCTTCCTCCTAGAGGGTTTAATCACACTGGAAAATTCTGTGTGTGAAGGCTTGGATACAAGATACCTCCCTTCCTTCTCTGGGCTTCTCCAGGAAGATGCTTCTTAATGATGTGTGGATTGCTCACCATGATGGTAATAAAACTCATGATGATAATAAAACCAGAGTTCTGTGCCCCCCAACCAGTGGAAGAGGGGCCAAAGAAAGATCACAGGGTCAGAGAAAAGGCCTTAGGGTTTGGGTAGCAAAATTGGGATGTCCCAGTATCTCTGTTTATTGTGGAGTTTCTTCCAACATTATTGCTTTTGTTTATTGAAGCCAACCCCCATGGCACTCACCACCCTTGGCAGTGGGCCCAGACCTGCCCAGGCCCCAGCCTGCCAGTCCTGGCCAAGAGGACTGGGGGTGGAGGGAGCACTGGCCAGGCCCCATTCCAGAAGCCTTGCTTGCTTACAGCCTAAGGCACTAACCCCCACCCCCCTTCTTAACGTCTTGCTTACAAGACAGCATTTGGAGACAATTTCTCATCAGACCTTCTTGTAAACATCCTCCTGGATGAAGCAAGCCTGAAGGATCCCTTATTGGAAACACCTGCGCCAGACAACAGGCTTGGTGAATGACAGCTTGCAGAACCGCCACCGGCCCCCTTGCCAATCCTGGGGCTGGTGAACCGGGTGGGATGGGAGATGGGAGTGAGGGTTTGGTGGGGGGGGAGGAAGTTTCTTCCCTCCCTTTCCCCTCCTCCCTAATCCCCCAGAGGGCTGGTTATGCTGAGACAGTGTCCTTGCCACTGCGGCATGAAGGGGTGTCAGGAAGGCTCTGGGAACAGGAATCTCTCATCGGCTGGTTCTTGTGGTGCCCCAGATTGCCCCCCATGAGTCACCTCTCAGATCTTGGAGTGAGTCGTTGCCCTCTCCAGCTTCTCCAAATAAGATGGCAGCCACATTTCTGTCATACATACATCCCCAGAGGTGTTAACACACTGAGTGTTAACATCACTTTAAATGAATGAGAATATTCAAGACTTTCAGTACTGTCCAAGTTTAAGCGGAGATAGAAGAGAGGCAGATCGAAGTTTCCCTAAGAGGAATTCCCAGGCTGGAAGTAACCTTGACATGCCAGTAAAAATACAGAAAAAGCAAAGTCAGAGTCCAAAGGCCACGTCTTCCACTGCTAAGGCAGCTTCTAGCCACCTTCCTGCTCCAACCAAACACTTCGGCAGGTGCTGACCCAAATCCCCATTTGGCTAAGAGAAAGCCGCAGACAGGGAGGGAGGAGGAGGAAGAGGAGTATATAAATTGGGCCCCGAACTCGTAGGATAGCAATTCTTGTACCATGATAATTGGTCTGTGATGGGACATTCCAGCACTCACTGGACCCCTCCCACTGCCACCCCGCTGGGACTTGTGGCCAAGCACCCCTGTATCCCTTCCTGCAGTCCAGCTCACAGATTCTCTCTGCCATTGGTCTGCTGACAAATCCCGGGACCCGCTGAGGTCGGACCCTGCTCTGGGCCATCCCTTGGCCCTCCTGGGGGCCTGGAAAGGGATCTTCTTGTGCTTCTGGGGCTGGACACCCTGTTGAGGTGCCCTTGTTAAGGTGAACTAGATAGTTCTAGAGGGAGTAGCGGCAATGAGCATCTGTCTCTCTGGCCCAAGACAAGCCACACTCCAGCCACCCCTCACCCCAACCTCCCTCCTGGCAGGCCGCAGAGCTCTGAGTGGGACTGAGGTGGGGGAGACTCAGGAAGGACCAGTCTTTAATGAGTTGGGCAGAAAGAGGAAGCACGAGGCTCCATGAAATAAATTAGTGAAATCTCAATTCCGATAAATCCAGTTTCTTAAAAAAAAAAAAAAAAAAAAAAACAAAAAAAAACCACAGCAACTGGTAGGAAAAGAAAATGTAATTTATGCCTATTGAAAGGAGGCCAGGTTTAAATTGATGAAGTCTCCTGTTTATGTAATAAATCCATTTCCATTCATGTCACCAATATATTTATCCACACATCCTGGTCCAAGTCAAATCTTCATTATTTTATTATTCAACAAGGGGCATAGGGGAGGGCAGGGGAACAGAGTCCTGTGTCGAATTAATAAAGTCTCACTCTCTCCCCCAGATCCCTCCTTGCACAGGGACAATTTATTCCTAGGAAGAAGGCAGAAGAACTGGATGCAATTTATGTGCTTTGAAAGAGACCCAAACGTAATTAGGCAAAGTCTCAAGTTCACCGAGAAATAAATCCCAGAGAAAGTAGCCGGGGGTAAAATTTACGTTCCCTGAAAGTCTGAAAGCCTCTCTCCCACCGGCCTCCCGCCCCTCCCCCAGGCCACCGTGCTCGGTTCCTGGTTCCTGAAGCCCGCCAGGCCACAGGGGTTCTCTCTAGCACCCCCACTTCCCACGGGGACCAACGTGTCTACAGGGTGCTCCCCTCTGCCTGTGGGTCCCCAGGGATGCTCACCCTGCCTGTCCGTCCCTCCCCTTGACACATACACACCCCTCGGGCCACTGTCCCTTCACTCCACAGTCAGGACAGTTATAGGACTAAGGGACTTCTTAGCCTGTAGGGGCATTTGCCCCAGAGAAATGAAGGCTTACAGGGAGGGCCCGTGCCTCCACACCAAGTCAGAGGCTCTTCCTGGAGTAAGGCAGTTTCCCTGAAGGAAAGCCCACAGAAAGCCCCTCTCCAGGCCCAGGGAGAGTCTCTCTTCACTCCCAGGGCCCCAGCTTCCTTCTTTCAGGAGGGAGGTGTAGGAGATGGGGCGCCCTTGCCCCAGGAGGTGGGACATTTGGTATTTGGGCCAGGGTGGCTCAGGATTTTTATTTATTTTTTTAAAGTTTATTTGTTTGAGAGTGAGAACAGAGAGAGTGAGAGGGGGGAGGGGCAGAGAGGGAGAGGGAGAGAGAATCCCAAGCTGGCTCTCCACTGTCAGCACAGGGCCCGATGAGCGGCTCGAAGTCATGAATTGTGAGATCATGACTTGAGCTGAAACTGAGAGTTGGACGCTTAACTGACTGAGCCACCCAGGGGCCCCAGAGCAGTTCAGGATTTTTAAGCCATCAATTTGGACAATCCAAAGTGGCTGGGTCGAGGACAATGATCTGGTGGGGGGTGTCTTCCTGAGGGGGAAGTCCACAAGTTGGGATGCAGAGCAGAGCTTCCCGCCCCATGGGGAAGCACAGGGGCTGCTTGGTGCTCTGTGTGTGGAGGGCATATCCATATGAGGTTTACAGTTGGGAAACCTCCATTCCCCTCCCCCACCCACCAGACAAGTCCCTAAGAATGTAGCTGTGTGCAGCCACAAGAGTCGAGATGCCCCTAGGACTAATGCTTCGTGGCTGAAAGCCTTCTGGACACACACAGCCAACAAGTGAAGAAGGTTCATGTTGTTCCAGAGAGACTGTGGGAACTTAACCTAGATCTAGACTTACTTAAGGTGCCCCCCCAGTGAGGAGCTAGGCCCATCATGGCCCAGCCCCAGCCCCAGCCCTGCCTTTTTCTCTCAAGAAACAGGCCATCCTGCTCTGGGCGATCAGGCAAAAGCACTTGGGAGGGTGCTGGAAGGTGAGATTGAGGTCTGAGCAGAGCCCGGGCACTGGCCACAGAGAGAGAAGACAGACACGACAAGTAATGGGTAGGAAAAATCAGCAGGGCTTCGTGTAGGGCAAAGGAGTGGGGGCAGTTCCCCGGTTTCTGGCAGGAGCTCCTGTGTGACCAGCCAGTGAGGCCATTTGCTATGATGACGAGGGCCGGGGGAGAAGGAACCAGGTGGGGACAAAAGGTGATGAGTTTAGCTAGAGAAGAGCAGATTTGGGAGGAAAGCAGGGATAAGATGGGTTCCCTTTAGGGCACGTGAGTTGGCCGGGACTTTGCCTTCACCAGAGAGATGTCTGGTGGAGATAGTCAGGTGTTCAGGAGTGAGCATGGGGAGCCTCTGGCACACAGATGGTCCCCCACCAGGAAGCCGCACTTGTCCCGCGAGAGCGTGAGGAGTTAGAGCGGGCTGAGGCCAAGGACACCCCCCACCGTGTCCAAGGCTGAGACAGGACTATGCCCTAAAGGCCAGGATGCCCCCACCACTGGTAGCAGAGAACACTGAGGACCTCAGTGACAGGGGACAGAGCAGAGGCCAGACCTCAGCAGGCGGAGGCAGGGAGCCCCTGCCTGCGTGTTGCTCTGTGGATAGGATT